TTTCGGTTAAGTAAAGATTTCTAATTATTTTCAGATCTTGGATGTTAATTCCTGCTTCTTTTAGTATTTGAATCATCTTGGCGTGCTGTACTCGATCAAACGCTTTCTCGTAATCAACCAGACATGCGTATACGTCGCAGTTGACGTCTCTGCATCTCTGGAATAAGACTTATACTGAGAACAAAGCCTCTCTAGTACCAACAGCATTTGTGAACCCGAACTGGTTGAGGGAAATTTGACTTTCACAGAGCTTGTAGATTCTTTTATGAAGTATTTTTAGAAACAATTTTAGGAGATGACTCATGAGGCTTATAGTACGGTAATCTTCACATTTTTTGACTCCTGTTTTTTTTGGAAGTGCAATAAACTCAGATTTCAGCCATTCTGTTGGTATTTCTCCAGAGTTGTATATGTTGTTGAATATCTTTGCGACTATTGCTATTGATTCGTTGTCCATTAGTTTGAGTAGTTCTGCCTGTATATTATCAGGACCTGCCGCTTTGCCATCCTTTAACTATGTTATTGCGGAATAAACTTCCTGTTGTAATATTCTTGGTCCATCATTAACCTCTTCTTCTAGCTCAAAGGTGTTATCTCTTTGGTCTTTAAATAGTTTTTCTAGATATTCTTTCCACGTTCTTATTTTATTCTGTTTGTCCAAGATGATGTTTCCATCAGAATCACCGTGTTCTGATTAGAATTATAAAAATGCGGAAGCGTGTACAGTTTTTAGTAGGATGTCCAGAACGTAAACAATTGATGCAAATTTTTACACGATTTGCTTCATTTAAGGAGAGGTTGGTTGTAATTTACTAAAATTAGGATAAGAATGTATAAGATGATTTTGTGAACACCATGAAAAAGTTAAGGTGTTGTGTTATTATTCGTAGATACAAAAGATTTTGCTTTGGTGTGAAGTATATTATCGTAATTATTAAGATATTCCAGAACTCTCAATTTTGCTTTTAAGAATTCTGTGAGCTCATTTAATGTAGGTAAATTTGTAGCGTTATCTTTCAATGATTGTTCCCATTCGCCGTGAGATGTGTTGTCCAATTTTGTAGTGACTAAGTAGATAATAAGAGGATCCCAACCTGTAATGTCTATTTGTAAAGCTTCAAGAGATCGTAGATGTCGTTGTAAACCGTCTAATAAGGCTCGCAAATCATTATGTGAGTTTCTATAAATGTTAGGTAAATTGAAGAGCTTTTTGATGTCGTTATTAACCTTCTTCTTAGAGTGCCGTCTCCCTACTGAGGTTGGCATTCATAATGGCTATTTTTATTTTTGAACAAAATAAAATCATAAAAGCAATATCAAAATTTTCGTAAAACTAATTGAATTTTGACAATGTACCCCTTTCTAGTAAATTTTCAATCTCCTAAAATTTGGAATAACGCTGGATCCATAAAGGTTTCTTAATATTGTTCCGAAGTTATTTTCTTGTGGCGTCTTGTCCATGTGACAGAGACTTTGGAGTGATCGAAAATGAAAAACGATATTTTATAGCCATTTTTTGCCAGACGGTTGGGTGAAAGTTATTTCCAGTTCGAAAAAGAATAATAAATTTCAGGTATTTAAAATGAGCTAAAAATTTAAGTGTACTAAAAAACTAGATAAGTTACTTTCATACTGAAAAAACGGGGAGCAAGATATAAAAGTAGAATGGCTTACAATAAAGTGGCTAATGTTCAAAGCATAAGAGCCCTTTGATTTTAAATATTCTAATAACAAGAGTGTATTATTCAATTGTGTTGACGTCTCAAACAAAACAAAAAGAACAGACGTCTTTCAAATAAAAAGAGAAGACCTCTACTTGGACATTCTCTATCCTGCTGGAATATCCATAGAGCAGTCAGACCTTCAGAGTCTTCTTCCTTTCATTCCGCCGGTCTATCATGAATTCTACACAAATCTGAAGACAATGATGTTGGATCGGAAACAGATAAATAGGTGACCAAAGTGAAAGTTTTGTTTTTCGTACAAGCTTAATATTTGACATATTGGCCCAACAGACTTTTTTTGTATAAAAAATGATTTTTTTTGTATACGAAAAGATGGTTTCATTTTTAGCTCAATTCTTTAGTTGCCAATATCTCAAAACATCAATTTTACACTTGTGCTATTGTGCTAAGGGATGTAGATAATACATTACTTGCTGTCTATTATTTGTACAAGTATATAGACGATTTTAATATTTAGATCAAGAAGAAAACAAATCTCTGACAAAAGAATCACACAATTAAGGAGTCTATACTATAAATCCTCAATTTAGAAGAGTGATTTCATCGTTTAAACGCCGAATATCCTCAAATTTAAATGTACACAGCGGCCCTCAAAAACTACCCGTTTTCTCAATTGCAATTTGCGTTTTCTCTTAAGAAATTACAGAATATATAAGTAGTATATTTATTTGTGGTTCTCTATACAAGACCTGTATGAAAACCAAAAAACATGATTTTTTCAATAGTACAAATTAAGCACAAAATTATATGACATAAATTTTATTTATATGTCCTGTTTCGTTACATATTTAAATTTATAAAATAAAAATCTTGGAATTAGCGACAGAACTCCGATCTACAATTTCGACCCACAGATAGCCGTAAAACTGGTTTTCGTTATTTTATGGCCGAGCAAGTGCCGATCAAGAAATCAACAATCGTTCATTTACATTGGCGTCTCTGAAGGTAGTGCATGTCTTGCATTTTGAAGTATATTTTATGTGATAAGTTTGTGTTATTGATAATACAAGTGTTATAGTTTGTCGTTTTATAGTAAATCTTTAGTTATATTCTGTGATTATTTGATTTAAGTTTTATTGGAGTTTTAGTTTATAGTGAATTTTTAGATATATTTTGTGATTCTTGAAATACAATGGACGAAAAACCGAGTTGTACCAAGAGAAGACAGCGAAATTCTGATGTTGATTCCAAAAATGAAAAGCCGCAAAAGGGACGAAAAATGTTAACGTCGGAAGAAAAGGTATTGATACCATATAATGGAATTGTCCGCAGCAAAATAGCACCAAATGTTAGCCAAGCGGTCGACATTATTAGCAGTTTAACAAAAGTATTCGTTAGCTGTATTTATCGTGTGCTGTGAGTAAAAATCGCAAAATAAAAAGTAAGAAAAGGTAAAACTAGAGGTAGAAAATACATTGTTTTGGATGACGAGACAAGTACTGTTATTCGTAGAAAAATTCATTTATTTTAATTTCGGAGTGAAATTGCTCTGAAAAAATTTCTCAAGAAGTCGAAAACGATTACTTCTTACCCAAGATATCTCGTAGAGTATGTTATTAGAAAAAAAAAGAAATTATTGTGCGAAGAAGAAAATATTTAAAAGAAATATGCAAAATTCGTAGCATTGGACGGAAAATATATTATTTGGATGAAATTTGAAAGATTTAAATGTCAAAAATAAACGCGAAGCATTTATGGAAGGCTGGTTTACTGGATAAAAAACTCCATCAGAAAAGAGACGGTGTTTAATCATTACCCATATAGAAAGTGATACAGGGTTCCTTGTTAATGGTTTGCTTTAATTTGAGTCAAGAGAAATAAGAGATCATCATGAAGAAATTACTTTCAAAGCATTTGAGCGCTGGTTTTGAGCATCTTAACAAAATTAGAACCTGGTCAGCTCACGTTAATAGACGTTTTAGCGTAACTTCCGCGACAGCCGGGTAGCATCAATAAGCTTTCTGCAAATTTATTTGTTTTCTTATAGCTTTTTGCTTATTCTTAATTTTTAGTTCAATTTGGAGAATAAGCCACAAAATATTTATTCATGTTTAATTATTGACCGTTTCGATCTCTATATCCATAGGCCATTTGTAACGATGAGTCCAAGCCATCACCGTTAAACCAGCGTGCGCGCGAACCAACCCACGAAGTAGGAGTGTATCGACAGTAGAAAGGGCAAAACTTCGCTATATAAACCGCAACATTTCCTCATAGAGGCAGAATCGACAGGTGTTGACTGAAGGTTCTCTTCTTCCCTACCCCGGCTTGTGAACGTGTTGAGTTCACAAGTTGTTTCCGTTCCATACCGTCGTCACCCGAAGAGCGTGTTGAGCTCTTCATTACCCGTACTCCGAAGCAGTCGTGTTGAGACTGTCGAGGAGTGTCCTATTAACCCGAATCACTTAAGGGACGTGTTGAGTTCCTTTCCTTTCTTTGTAACTATCGTCCGCTGTTATTAAGTCGATACAGCGTCCACGTAAAATTTCAAAAACACACTCGCTTGTCGATAACACTAATTTCATACGACAAGGTCAAACTTAATTTGAATAAATAGGCCAGGTACTGAGAAGACTAAACCAAATTGTAAATATGTATATAAGATTTTTGTCAATTTAATTTAAGGAAGACAATAAAATTTTATTTTTATTTTGAACTCTGTCTCTGACTGTCCAAAAGCTACCCGGATAGTGACTCCTACGAGAGGACGTCACACATTTTCAAATATACAAATGAGAGTAATATTTATTTTTCTTTGGCTTTTTGCTTGTGGCGTTCTGTAGTTTTAGTAATAGTGTGGGTATAAGCCACAATATATTTATTAAAATTTTTAATATACTGACGTTTCGATCTCTACATAAAGATACCGTTTTAGAATATGGAAATGATAGATTATTTTTATAGCTTTTGGCTTGGGACATTCTGTATTTTTAGGGATAAATAAAATAAATATAACTTTAATTTATATCTTTGAAAACAGTCTTTGGATATAGAGATCGAAACGTCAGTAAAAACCTGTAAATAAATATATTGTGGCTTATTTCGAACAATAATATTTGAAAAATATAATATAATTAACGTTGAAATATAAGTGAGTGTACGCCACTGGATTTTCATACGTCTTTTCTCACTTCTCCGCCTTTAAACGATGAATCACTTTTCTAAATAGTGGAATTATAGGTTAGATTAACCAAAATTGACAAACAGCGGCGCTATACATGAACACAACATTAATTTATAAAAAGATTAACAGAAAATAGTGACATTATGAATGTTTTATTAAAAAAAAAAATGAGTAACAATTCTTATATTTAGGTTAAATCAAATTTAAAATATTTGTTTCCAGTTTTGCACATGATAAACTGGACATATATGTACCAATTTTCTTGATTGGAGCTGTCCATTAAATCGTGCAATTTAGCGTTTAATTGTGGCAATATTCGATTTAATTCCTCTTCATAATCACCCAAGCACCAAATTATGCTCATATGAAAAGATGGGTCCTAAAATAATAAAAAAAATGTAATATAACGAATAAATAAGAAGAATGGAGAAAAATCATTATGATTTTGTATAATATAGTAGAATAAAAAAAAATTAAACAAAAGATCAGCATTAGTGATGTGACGAATGTCATTTTTTAAACATTCGCAAGTGCGAATGCGAATATATGCCACCGACATTCGCGAATGCGAATATTCAGTTTTTTTTAATTTGGCAATTTTAATTGTCTCCGGCACTGCCGGCAGTCTCATTTGCGCGAGGTGTGTAGGCAATTGGAAAAAGTCTGTCATTTTTAACTGCTTGAAATTGTCCAGTATCATTCTATCATATTTGCTAAAGTAAAGATGTGAAACAGTTGTATTTATTGTAAAGAAGTTTATTGTAGGCGGTTAAGTTTATTGAGGGGTCGTTTAAAAAGGTATTTATTTATAGTCACGTCCGAGCCAAAAACGTAGAAAGCAGGTTTTTCGATCTTATTTTCTCTTGTTATAATCAAATTTGACTTGTTATAGAGAGAAAGTTATAGCAGAGAACTAAGTTCTCTGGTTATAGTTCCAATAAAAATTTCACGGGACACAAGTCACTCCACTTGCCCTGCTCTGCTCGTGCACAAATACAAGTGAATTTTTAGTTAAAGTGTGATTAGCTATTTATTACTATGAGTAAATCAGATTATAGTGTAATGTGGACTTATTTTTCACCACTTTTCGATACTGAACGAGCTAAATGCAAGCTGTGTAATATTCGCAAAACATTCGCACAAATTTTGCGAATGCGAATGCAAATGCGAATATGCAAAAATATGCGAATATTCGCGAATGCGAATGCGAATTTTCGTTACATCACTAATAGTGATGTAACGAATGTCATTTTTTAAACATTCGCAAATGCGAATATATGCCACCGACATTCGCGAATGCGAATATTCAGTTTTTTTTTTAATTTGGCAATTTTTAGTTGTCTCCGGCACTGCCGGCAGTCTCATTTGCGCGAGGTGTGTAGGCAATTGGAAAAAGTCTGTCATTTTTAACTGCTTGAAATTGTCCAGTATCATTCTATCATATTTGCTAAAGTAAAGATTTTTTAAACATTCGCAAGTGCGAATGCGAATATATGCCACCGACATTCGCGAATATGCAAAAATATGCGAATATTCGCGAATGCGAATATTCGTTACATCACTAGTACAAACATACATGTTCTTTATCCAATTCATCCATTCCTTGACCTTTCTTTTTAGTTTCCGTGATCGGCAAAAAATCTAATTGTGCTTTGTCAAATTCATTTATTAATTCTCTCTCTTTTCCATTGAGGCTTCTGACGTTCCACGTAGCCATTTTTATGTACGTTTGTAGTCTATTTGCACCTTGATCTTGTATTAAATTTTCATTGTTACAGTTTTCTTTTTTGTCCAATTAAATTATATCGTTAAACCTTATTCCCGCCTTGTTTGGTATTCCATGTTGATCAGTTCTATTTGGCCGATGGTCTGCTATTTCTTCCTGGATTTGTTGAGAGCCTTCATCTCCCTGTTCCACGTCCATACTTCTCCATTTATAATAAGTTTTTGAAACCCCATTTGGACTGTATTCCCTTTACTCTTTTCTTCCTTAGCTTTAGCTCTAATTTCTTTTTGACTAATTCTCTGCTGTTCGCTCATATCATCATTTATATATACTTTGTGTTCTCTAATATTTCTTAGTTTGGCTTTATTGTTCATAAGTGTGTATTTTTGGTTACTATCTTTTAGTTCTAATAAACAGGTCTTTTCTCCTATTTTAATTGCTCTATTTCAATCTCAATGTTCAGGTGCGTACTTAAAAATATTTGCATATTGCTCTTCACTGTTTCTACGTTATTTGTTTCTATTGGTAGTCCCTGAATTACTACATTATTTCTTCTTTTCTCGTTCTTAAGTCTTTTAATTCTGTCCATTGCTTGTATAAGATCTTTCTTGATCTCTTGACTTTCTCTCCTGATTTGCGTATTTTCCTTTTTCAAATCTTGAATTTCTGTTAGACATTTTTTTGTTCTTGTTTTATTTCCTTCGTTTCTGCTTCTATAAATCGTTGCAAGCCTTGGATCATATCCATTATTTTTCCTGAGTTATCTTCTTTTTTCTCTTTCATGTCTGGAGATCTTTTAGTTTTTGTTTGTGAACCAAATGTTTGTGAGCCTTTCCTTCTTTTGCCTTCATCCTGGTGGCATGGTGGTGTACTCGTCTTCACTATCCATTGCTTTCTAATTGTGCTCGTGATATTAGCTGTTCAGTTTAACTACCCAATCGCGTAAAAAGTAGACCCCGGTCAACCCGTCGTAAGTCTTGCTTTTATCGATCGGTCTTCTATTAAGCTGTGGTTTTCTTCACAATAAAATGTATAATTCTGTTCTCTTTAAATTCTTTACTATTTTTGCATTACGGCAACACCGCTTTTCTACCGGTCAGAATCCCGAGGTCGAATTAGTTCTTTTGCTCTTATCGCTAAATTAAACAACAGAAACTGTTGGTATCGGAACAACTGATTTTGCTTATTATTGTTAGTGATTAGCCACTTACTATCGGTTTATTCACACTGCGATACGCGTTGTAACTTTACACACACTTATTGCTGCTTTGGCTAAATTATTTCACTCTGCACCTCTCGATTTTCGGGTTTAATGCAGGAGCAAGCCAATTGCACTTCATACGCTTGACCGCAGCGTTGCCGTTCTGACCTAACAAAATACTTTTGTAATAGTGCAACATACAACAAAGTGCTTTTAAATTCATCATATATTTCTTATTACGTTTTCGACTTAGAAATTGTTTTCAACGATTTTCCCTTTTAATTTTTAATAATAAATTATCTTGTAATGATTTCAATAAAAATACAACTTTTACTTACATTATAAAAGGATGGCAACTTAAATTCTGATAGACAAATGTTCAGAATATCTACCAATTTAATTAATGAATCATATCCAGATTTGATTTGAATTCCTATAAATGTTCTGGTGCGTTCTTCATTACAATATACCTTGAGACTGTCAAAAAGAATCATGAACCTAAAATAATGCGTCATAAAAGTTTTGGATTAGTCAAATATAGTAAAAACACTACGCAGCAATATTAAACATGCTATATGCATACATACTATATGTAGAGATATAAAAGGAGTTAAATAGAAGTGTAATGTAAACATAGCAAGAAAGTAAAGACTAAAATAAAGGTTAGTAGCATAGGGGAGAATGGTAATCATTTTAATGATTATTATATATTCCAAATCAAATAAGGGATAATTAATACAGTAAAGTATACATTTTAAATTACACAAAGAAATTGACCTAGTTAGTGAATTGTTTGATAATTGTTTAAACGTAGAAAAAGCACGTCAAACAGAAACTATTGTTGTAAAAATAACACCGCTCGTGACCCAAATAACGCATAGGACTTACAACTCAGCGAAAACACGACCTTGGCACTATAACCGGCATTGAAAATACTAGCTCAATAAAAACAAGAAGAACAGAGGAGTCGGGCAGTCAGTAATAGCGAGTCAGTCAGTAATAGCGGGGCACCGTGACTGGCCGCTCAGGCAGTATTGCCGGCATCGGGTCGGACGCGATAGCGTCCCGTACGCGCAGGCTGTCGGTGTCTTCGGGCAGGGTGGTTAATACGAGAGTATCATCAGGTGCGGATTACGCGCGATTGTTATATTTCGACGGGGTATAGTTCAGTGTCGGGTGTGTCGGGTAAAAGTGTCGGGTACTGAAAGAAATCCGATTTCCGAAGGAACTGAAGGGCGTATCATTAGCTAGAGCCTAAATACGCGAAAGGTAACAAAATTCTATATACTAACCCGAGTAAATTATAGTATTACAGATTGTCACCCCTTTACTTTCTTGCTAAGATCTCTTCTCGTCTCCCTTCGCGCCGAACGAGTTATTATTACTTATATCTGACAGTTTGTTAACTTAATTGTAAACCACATAGTATATTCAATACATTTGTAGACTCTAAAATTGGTTTTATGTTTCTTCCGACCGATTCAGACAGAGACCAAAAGAGTACCAAATTTCGGCTTATACATTTATCCGGCTTCTAAAGTAAGCCCATAGACTCAAACTCTTTACAGGACCTGAGACCTAGAAGTCCTTAACCCCTATTCCGAAGTTCCTTACCTTCTCGTAAATCCACGAAGGCGAGCCAGCCCTCCAGACTAGTGGGACAGTATTCCTTGCAGCCGCTCGCAGGGATAAGCATCCTTTAAGGTTCATTACCAGTATATTACAGTGGTAACAGCGTTGTACAGTGGTGAAGATTTTCTCACCCTCTAGTTTCAGATGTTACAATAGGGGATATAACTCCCGCTAGTTGTACAGTGGTGACAGCGGAGCCCCAGTAGTTGTACATTTGGCAACAGTGGTGTTCCCAGTATATTACAGAAGGATGAAATTAAGAGATCCACTGCTAGTGCTAGCTACCCAATCAAAAACATAAAATGCTCTTTATACAGAACAAAGTTAAGTATTTTGTTTATATTCACTTCCACTATGAAGATTATGACAATATTTAGATATACACATGAAATGACAATAGCTTGGAACTGTCACCTTTGATCACCATGGAACACCTCTTTGTTGAATCTGTTTTTATAAGATTAATGGAACATCGAAGGTTTAGGTATAACAAAAACATTTAGCACAATATTTGAGACACTTTTACTTATACTCACTTACAGTTAAGCCACATCAACTTTTTAATAATCTCACAAATTTGTTTTTCCTGAAGTTTCGTCCGCAACTACAGTAGACGATACAAGAGAGCACATAACTTCCTGTCACTGATGATCTTCAGTATTGGAAATTTATCATAAAATTTGCCATGAACTAGCTATCGGCCCATCTAGGAGCAGATTCCATAAGAAAAGACCATTAGTCCATAATAAAACTCCGCCCCTGCGAACAGCCTCTTGGTTACCTGTGCTGATACTATATACCCCAGTAACGTTCTACATATCATGCAGCTCCTCAACATGTAGTCTAGTTATATGCAGCTTGTTTCATCTGTTCTTTTTATACGAATCGCCATTATGATTGCTTCTTAGGAGGTGTTGTCGAATGTTTCATTGATATCGTGAAATTTATCTAGTATCACCTCTCGGTTTTCCAGAATGTACTCCACCCTCTATAAGAGGTGGTTAATATGGCCCTGTCTAAACAATATTCCAAGTCTGCTTCATATTCCTCCTAGTTTGTTTTACGATGGTTATGATAAGTTTCCTTGATATGCTCATTACTTGTTATTTCAAAACTGATGTGTTGAGAATCTGAACAAAACACCTTATCTGACATGTGGCATTTTTTGACAGCTCTTACACGTGAGTCGTGGCCACTGATATAAAATTGATGATTCGTTGTGTACGAAAGTTGATTTTTTTACATTTAGTAATCTAAATCATATTCCATAACAAATTATAGTAATGACTTATTCATTGACGTCAAAAGACAGATAGTATGCATTGGTATCACAGCTGATGATCAGTTGCAGTCGATAGATATCGATAGTGTCATAGATATCGATTCATCTATGACACTATTTTAATCTGTTGATTGACTATTTTATACAAGTCCTCAGGACTTTGACAGATCAGTTATGTATAAGCTCTTCACCAAGACTCGGTAGATTTCGGATTTGGTCTTAGTAAACCAGGACTTTTGTATCAATGCTACATCGAACTTTCCCATAGCAACAGTAAGCTTCAACGAAGTTGTCTTACTATGCTGGATGTTCACCTGTAGGACTCTGGTGCCATCGACGCCTCTGATGGTTTTAAGGATACATTTTTAAGTATCTAATACGCCTTGAAATGAGCAGCCTTCAATCCTTGTAAGGGATAACATTGATTGTGAAGAGTATGATTTTAACAACCAATTTGTATTACAATATTTCTCCAAAATTTACAATCCAATCTACAATTTGCTATAAGACAATTTTTTATTTATTGACTTAAAGAAGGCCTCTGGCTGAGTATTAAGAAAATAACGAATATATTGGGATAGAAAAAATCAATCAGTTTTTATTTGTTACGACCCGTGGGGAAACAATGACGACTATTAGACTGAAGTCTGTTTGATGCTTATTGGCGAACACGATACTATAGTAGCTTATTTGTAGTGTACCGTTTTGTGCGTCTTAAAACGTTTTATTTTGCAATTTTCATATTCATTTATAATATCAAAATAAATCTGCATAGATTATTTTTGGTGTGACAAAACAAAAGTATATTAGTAGGACATCATAATATGTTCTAGAAATCCGATGTATTAGAATCGAGCCACATTCTAGTTTAAAATAAAATAACAAGAAATTGCTTATTTTATATATTTATTGCGATGTGTAAGATGTTTAACACATTTACAGATTAAAATATTAACTAAATTAAGTCTTTTTCTGAGAGTGTTTTTTGAAAGACCAGATGGTAGATCGACCGAGAAAAAGAAGGAATGATGATGTTAAAGCCGATTTATTGGGCTTGCAACAATTGGAAATAGAAGCGCAAGATCGTAGAGGATGGAGAGCGATAGTGGATGCGACGAAGACTCACCCCGAGTTGTAAAGCCAGTGAAGAAGAAGAAGAAGAATTTTTCCTCCTTCGTTAAGGATAACAAATATTCATTATTGTTGGTCATATCTAATCTCTTACTGAGATTAAATACGGACAATGAAAATTGATAAGAGAGACTATAGCATTGGAATATAGTTTAAAACAGAATTAATTAAGTTTATTAGTTTCTAGTCCATAAATTATGTTCGGGTTGCATAAGCACTTAGTACTTGTTTTCATTAATTTATAATAGATTTTTGCTGTATATGATATTGCTCATTACAAATAAATACATTCACCATCTGTTCTATTACTTTTTTCTTATATCATATTCATTGTTTAAGTCCATAAATAAGAAAAAACATGCCCTAAGTACAAAAGCTGACAGAAAGCAACAGGTTAACCCTCATATTAATTATATGTTATTTCTTCATTTATATGCTTAAAACCAGTTAACAAAATATGTAATGTAGTACTTACAATTATTACCTTTTTAAATAATTTGTCTTTAACCTAACACCATCAACAAAAGAATTAATCCAGTGGTGTTTTAATATCACAGTTTTTGTCAGACTAATATGGAAATTGTCAACACAAATTAAAGGAATATTAGGAACTGCTGCTATTATTTCATTAATTAATTCTAGCATCCCTTCTGTATGATTCACTAAAAAAATATTAGTTAAATTCAAAACTTTGTAAACTAAAAATATCAAAATTGACAATTTTAGAAAGAAGAATGATTGTATTTTGATTGGAGGACTCATTGTAATCCTCAATACGTGCTCTAGTCTACAATCTCTAACAAAAAAAAAGGGGATGAAAAAGAAGCGATAATTTCAAAGTAACTGCTTTGACTGGGAGAGTCTGTTTACTTTAAGCAGTAGCAAGAAGTGTGACTACCAGACTTTGACAATGACAAGTGTGCTTTTGCCAAAATGTTGTCGAAACAATGGTTTTCGCCAAAACCATAATTATTCAACACAAGATTAAATTCCCACATGGAAATTTTAAGTGTAATATATATATATATATATATATATATATATATATATATATATATATAAGATGCTAATAAATATTGTTTAAATGGCGTTTTTGAAAAAAAGTTGTTTACTTTTATTGTCAATGATATATTTTAAAACAAAAAATCTGTATTCTGTAAATCTGTATAAAGCGTATTGTCAAGAATAACATAAAATACTGCTTCTGCAATTGGAAGAAGTCTGTCATTTTTGACTGCTTTAAATTGTACAGTATTCTATCATATTTTCTAAAGATGTGAAATAGTTTTATGCTTCTTCATTTGCGTTTTGTCTTTGAATAAAGTTTCTGACAATTTTTAAAACACTTGCTACATCTTGTCTATTAGGGCCTACATTATTAGGAGTGAATGATCAAATAATATTATGATTTTTAATTAATAAACTTAAATAGTGATTAAAGAAATAAAGTTATATACTAGAGAATATTATAAAAATTATTTATATGAGGGTATTCTTAAGAAATTAGCATATAAGTGTAAAAAGTTTTTTTTTTTTAATAGTTGAATAATAATTACAGATGTAAAATAGGGTTATTTATTAATTTAAGATGTTTAATTTACATATAATTACGGATGTAAAATAGTGTTATGTATTAATTTAAGGTGTTTAATTTACATATAAGTTTATATTCTGATCTGGAAGCCCAAATGTCAATAAAATTCTCGATAGAAGGGTAAAGAATTCTCTAGAACACCTCAATATAAGGAAGTTAACCCTATTTGATAGAACAATTTCGAATATGATATTTGAATAGAACAATTTCGAATATGATTTATTTCAAGAATATTTTTGAACATTGAAAAGATATATACTCGATGGTTTGGAGGATAGGGGACAGTTGGTTCAGGACAGTATGAGAGTAAATTAGAACAGTTACAGTTGGACAGTATGAGAGTAAATTAGAACAGTTGAACAGTGAGACAGTTAGTGAATTCATTAAGAAGTTAGTCAGTCGGTCAGTACAAGCAGTTCATAGTATATAGTATACAGTGATCAGTATTAGAGTATTAATTATATAGTACAGTATGTATATGGTGATTGGAGATTAGAAGAAATTAAAATTATAATAGTTATATGGAGATTGGAGATTGGTATATTAAAAAGAAGAATAAACATAAATGCTATTAAGAAGAAAAATGTTTTATATTGGTGGAAGCTGATGATAAGAATTTCAATTTTAAGATAGGTTGTTCTAAATTTATATTGTCTATATTAGATATATATATATATATATAATATATATATATATATATATATATAAATATATATATATATATATATATATATATATATATAATTATCATGAAATACACACACATATATATATATATATATATATAATATATAATATATGTATTTCATGATAATTATAATAAAGATATACTGCTGAAATACTTATATTACAATCAAGTAGCCTCTATCCAAATTGAAGACAGTCCGACTGAAAAAATATCCATCAAACATGGAGTACGGCAAGGTTGTGTTTTGTCACCCACTCTTTTTAATCTGTACTCTGAGGAAATCTTTAAGGAGGCTTTGGATGACAGACAAGAGGGAGTAAGACTAGGTGGAGAAGTAATCAACAATATTAGATACGCTGATGATACAGCCATTCTTGCAGAAAATTTACAAGATCTCCAAACATTACTAAATCTAGTAGGTGAAGCAAGTTATCGCAGAGGCCTTAAAATCAACATTTCAAAGACAAAGTGGATGGCAGTTGGAAAGATCAATATAGATCAAGGTCTGATTTCTCTTAATGGAGAGGAGATCGAAAGGATAAATCATTTCAAATACCTTGGTAGCCGGTTTAATGTAAATTGTGACTTTGATCAATAGATAATAACCAGGATCGATATATCACATAAGGCTTTTATGACGTGGAAACCAGTTTTATGCAACAGAAACCTGTCGATGAATATTCGTAAGAAGGTCCTGAAATGTTATGTGTGGTCCATCCTATTGTATGGTTGTGAGACATGGACGTTAAAAACCACAATGCTAAACAAGTTAGAAGCATTCGAATTGTCGAGAATTATAGACGAATCCTAAAGATATCGTGGGTTTTGAACACTTCCAAGAAGATGTTCTTCAAATGATCAATTCAGAATGTCTGCTTATAAACACCATAAAGAGGAGAAAAACAGTATACTTCGGCCTTATAATTAGAGGACCTAAATACCATCTACTTCGCCTTATAATAAATTCTCAACACGGTTCTTCCCAAGAACTAAGTAATTTTCATTCATCTGATCATCATTATCTATCAACTAAGGAACATATATATATATATATATATATATATATATAATATATATATATATATATATATATATATATATATATATACAGGATGTTTTACAACGAGCTTACACTCTCTATATATAGAAAATATATATAGGAAACTTCTTGCACAATATTAATGAAAATGAAATGAAAATTTTCACAGATGTCACTTTGGGTTATACCAGATAAACAGTAACTTTTATTTTAAATTGAACACTCTGTAGATATATCATTGAATTTTTAAATTATATGTAAGATTCTAGATACAATTTGTAGAAGGTACTATAGATGAAAACTTAATATTTTTTGTGTTATTTATTATTTGACAATCATGCATTCATAATGTCTTAAAAACTTTTGCACAAAAAAAGTAGATAAATGTTCTTTCAGGAATTTACATCGAAATTGAACTTTTAAATAGAGGATGTTCACAAATGATACGCCATTTCTTTAAACTAGTTTATATAGTAAAATAAAAAAAGAAAAGTATATCTGTTTGGCTTGTCCTATTCATTATCCTCTTGAGTATTATGAAACTGAATAAACCAAAATAGTTATATACTCTAGTATACTTACATGCAATATATACAAATGTTGCCCAATTGCCTCTTTCATGAGCAAAAGATCTTATCCTACCACCATGCAAATGGGGATCATCAACATGTTCTTCTACAGTTTGTTTATCTTTTAATAATACCTCTGGTACTGGTAACCTAAAAGACCTAAAAAAAGTTATTTTTTTTATAATACATCAGTTACTTAAGTATATTACTATATATATGTAATAGTAATGTAATTAAAGTGGGTACTATAATGTTTGTAGGGTAAAGACCAATGAAGTATAATAAATAGACCCAGCAGCCTCCCATACTTGATATACAACCAGGTGTTATAAAGACCTGCTTGGAGATATGTTTACTAACAACACATGCTCGTTTATATAATGAGTATTTTTCTTTGTCAAAAATGAATGAAATGTATGAAAAAAATTAGTTATAAAAATTGTATTATAAAATATATAATGATTTATTTATTAGATAAACTAAATGCTTCTTCTGACTATTAACACATATCCTAATCTTTATAAAACAATATAAATTTCAAAAATGACACCTGAAAAGTGATAATGTTTGGCTTACGAACTTCAGGGACTACAAATAGGACACTTAAATGTCATTTTACTAAAACATTAAGTAAATGACCCTCAAAACTTAAAAATGAAATGTGCTTGTTACATAAAATATGCAAACCAATGACAACTTCGTAAACAGTCATGATCCTCCTGCAACTTTGTATCATAACAATAAACATAAACACAAGTAATCATTTTTGTGATACTTTTTACAGCATTCGATGAGTCTATATATTATAATGTCATTGGTAAAGGCAAACAAAAGTGTGAAATAAGAATGCATGTATATCTATGCTACTTAAAATATAATTTAGAGCAAGTAGTAAAATTTTTCAAAGAAATGTAATAACTAGGTAACAACTTGGCCTTGGTTTGAAGTCATGATTCTTATTGCAGAATATATCTATTACAAAATTTGATAAACGACATAACACAATTACAGATCACTAAAAATCATGTTATAATATACAATCCAATCCTATAGATATGAGAAACATAATATCTACAACATTGCTACTACCAGAATTATAACATACAGCAGGTGGTAAAATTTATCAAAAATAAATGCAAAACTAATACTAAAATATAAAACATACAGTTATAAAGAAAAAGTCATGATACACATGATGACAGTGAAATTTACACAGAAGTGTAATAAACTGTTTAAAATGTAAAAATGTGAATTTTGAGTTAATTGGTACTTTATTAAATGGTGTTAACGGTATAAAAAATAGAAATTTACCTATAATTAATAATGTGTTGTCATATATATTAAATATAACGCAAAATATAGGCCAAACAAATATATATGTGAATTCCAAGTTGTGATAAAATATTATCCCAAAGCAGCTATATAGAGAAACATTTAATAAAAGTAAGGGAATCAAGATGTTATAATACACAAAACAATCTATTATAAAGATAAATCTAGAAGGCAGTGATATAAGAGGAAATACCTCTTTTTAAAACTATGGTCCTCTTCATCTTGTTCTTCAAGAGTACGTTTTCTTGCTAATCTTGGTCCAAGCTCATCGTCCTCTGAACTGTCTCCTCCGTATTCACTTAAAAGGGATAAAGATCCTTTTCCTAACATTCTAAATTTAAACTATCCGTTTTCTAGTTTTGAAATTATTGTAATTATTTTTATAAAAATTAAGGTTATGATATGATATGATGACATTTGATCTGTTTGATCTTGATGAGATGTCAAGTGTCAAGTTATGAAAACAAAATAACAAAACCACAATTGTTTGTTATTCTGTGACATTACCACAGCACAGAGACACAGAATAATAATCAAATAATAATCAAACAGAATACCCACTCTCCACGGAAAATTAAGTACGCGCATCTCCTCCGCGCAGACGTTCCGCCATGTTTTAGGAGGATTTAAAGAATTAGTGTTGGTTTTATGTGTTGTGCATGGAAAAATAACCAGGTTTATTTGACTTAAGGCAATCATAGACATACAATACAATTATATTAACATTGTTAAATATAATAACATAAATATAATATAATTAAACATAAATATAAACAATTACATAACCACACAAATCATATGTCTGGGTCCTCCTAAAACATGGCGCGCGTGCTGAAAAACTTCAAAGGGCGGCACCTGAGAGTGGCCCTTCTGATTGTTTATTATTCTGTGACAGAGATATGTAATACGGGCTTTAACACCAACAATAAATTCATGAAGAAATTCGTGAAGTCGCTTCAAGGTCAAATTTGACCTGTGTAAAGCACAATTTGACATCCAATTTTGCCGTGAATAAATTCATGAATAACTTCGTGAAGAAATTGACGAAATAGAACATGTTCTATTTTTCTCATTTATTGGACGTGAATTCAGTATCACCAACCTGTGTAGATTTGGCGCGAAGTAGGGATAATAATTATTTTGTTTTTGATTATTGAACCAAATTGAACTTTGCATTTTTAAGTCGTGTGTCAAGTAATAGGTAATAGTTATGGAAAAGAGGTAAGTTACTCTATAATAAAAGACGAAATAATTTTATGTATTTTTTTAGGAAAAACATAAAATTTCGAGGCAGAAAACTCTAGTTTTTATTAAAATATTGTTTACTTTTCCCTTTCTTACATGTTTTTTTCAAATATTATTTATTTAACGCTCTGAGAATATATAGTAAATATTTTTTAATAAAAGATTATATAATTCTACCTTTTCCTTCACTCCTATCTTTTACTTGGTCTAGTCGAAAGTTTAAAAATGGATTAATCAAAGTTTTCCAAGAGATATGGATGCTATTGATTTCTGAAACAGGAAAGGATGGTTTTCTTTGAAATGCCAAGTATTATAAGATTGCAAAATGAAAAGTATGGAGTGATATAGTACCTAGGCTGTCACATTCCGCTCATGATTCTCAAAAACAGCAACTTTCAAAAAAAATAAAGAATTTAGACATTTTAAATTCTGATAATTTGGTGATACTCCCTGGATATATTTTCCTGTTGAACCAGGTATGAATAATATTGTATTATTGATAGGATTTTTAAATTAACTTTGTGTTGAGTCCACTTATCTATTTTTTTGAACCAGGTATGAATAATTCTATATTATTGATTAGATTTTAAATTCACATTCAGGCTGGTACACTGAATTTCAGATATTTAACAGAATGTGTATGGAAGAAGAAAGTTTCCAATTTTAGCCAATGAAAGTGGCTGTATAGTTGAAATGATTCAATTAAAAAATCAAAGTGGAGACAATTTTGAAGATGAATTGGTAAATAAAGATGTTATTGAACTTTCTTAAGTTAAAGGTGTTTGAGAACCCTATAAAATATTTTTGTGTTATGGGAAAACCTCTGAAGAATCATTAATATACATAGAACTTTTTTTTATTTTTTATTAAATTTTTCTTTGTATAATTTAATTTTTAAACCTAATAAATCTATTTCTTTTCAATGCATGTCTTCAACAATTCCATTTCTCTGACATGTTTCTGTTGTGCTCTTTTTCTACATGAAGCCGTTGGCCTGCTACTAATTTTGTTCTTTCTTATTCATTCTTCTTATTCTCATACTTTATTATTCATAGTTTTCTTCTTAAATTGACTATCTTCCTTTAAAAGTGCAGGATTCCATATATCCTACGGATAAAATCTGTACAGTTTTTATTAAGAAAAAAATCATAGTTGTTTGTGTATATAACAAATATTAAAACTAGCTTTTATTCCTGTTATTATGATTCTTCATTTATTATTTAAATTATATAATATTTAAAAATTATTGTATTTTTATACACCTATTTAGTTTAGTCCTAACCTACCCTACTATTCAATAAAGCAAATTGTAATATGTTAAAGACAAATCATTAAAATTGTAAAGAATCAGCTCACAAACTAGTGGTAAAGTATTACTGGTTATTTCCATGTTTTATTTAATTTAATTATTCATTTCTTTACAATATCTCTTTGTGATTAGAATTGTACACATCTCAATATTCTAACAATAAACATAGCTATTTATTTATATTAGGTAAATATCTCTTGAGAATATATATTATGAATAGTGGTTTAAAAGATCATAAAAAGTATTGTAGCTTTCTCTCTTCTTTACTTCTACTTGGTTGAGGCAGGTATTGTATTTAAATAAAGGCTTTCATCATTTTAAAAGTTACAATGAATTGATTAACATTTATACTAACTACAGTTAATTTTTAGTATGTAATGAATGCTAGATTTTCTTGTTCTTTCATATAAAAAAATCAAATTACCACTTTTTCTGTTTCTTTACCTATGTTGTCCTTATTAAAGTTATTTAAAATTATCTTCTATGTCTAAAAAGTTTTTACTAATTATAATGTAATTTCCACTTATTTTTACCTCTTGTTCAAACTCTTACTCATTACCAAATTCAGCATAATTTTTTGTACAATCTTAATCACTATTTTCTTTTTAAAACGATATTGTTTTCTGATTCTGATTATATTTCCAAATCCAAATATATATTTATTCAAATAAACAACAATAAATAACATCCAATAATAAAACCATTGGTACTACTGAAATAATGACACTTGATGTAAAAATTTATTTGAAGTCAAAGAAACTTTTACGTCCAAGAAATTCACGAATTTATTGACACAGAAATTGATGAATAAATTCATGAATTTCTTCGTGAATTTATTGTTGGTGTAAAGCCCGTATAAGAGAGGTATTTGCTTGTGTTTTGGTTTGATGACTTGACAGAAAATCGTAGCTTAGTTTCAGATCGGTCAATTATGTTTGTGAATTTGTGATTCATATTTTGATTGAAAACAAAAATTAAAAATATGGGTGGACGGTATTTGTTCCACCAATGTGCAATGTAGTTAAACATTTATAATATTTTAGGACAAGTATAAACCAAATAACAAAATCATGCCTCCGATGAAGGACGCGAACATTGTAAAAATTGCGGTGGAAATGACCGATCAAGTCCCCCAATTAATCGAATTTAATCAAAAACAGCCTCTGGCGGGTATAATTCAAGAATTGTGTAACGGATGGAATCTCACAGAACCAGAACAGTACGCCTTACAGTTTAATGAAAATAATAACAATAATTACATTACAGAAAAGAACAGAAATGAAATTAAGAATGGATCAGTTTTACGTTTACAATATTCTCCTTCAAAGACAGCTCAGGATATTCTGTTGAAATTAAACACAGGCAGCCCTGAAGAAAAGGCTACTGCAATGAATAAGCTCTCTATACTTAGTGCAGATATCACTTTTGCCTTAGATTTTATCAACAAACAAGGACTAACACTCCTTATAAAACAAATTGAGGGTGCTAAATGTAAGGGTACAGTCTTAGCACATACACTCTTATCATTTGTAGAGTTAATGGAACATGGAATTGTGTCTTGGGACATTCTAAATGGGGAATTTATTTCTAGAGTAGCTACTTTTGTAAACACGCCACAAGAATCTCAAGTTACACAGGCAGCTTTATCGATTTTAGAAAATGTTGTTCTTAATAGTACTGAAGGGTATGGACAGGTAAGTTTCCTAAAAACTTTGTACTTTTTTATATCTGAATTAGAACCAGTAAGACCATTTTTATATTTTTTAAGTATCTTGATTTGTTTCCTATTTGCTACTTTTGGCTTTATTTCTGCTGTTGTCTGCTCTTGATAGACTCATTAATATTTAATTCAGCAGGTTTTTTTGCCCTGGAAGCTCTCTATTCTAAACCAGTCATACTGCAGTAAATTGGCTTATTGTACATAGCTCAGTGGGGTGCTATTGTTTAAGGTGTGAAACTCCATAAACAGAAAATCTTCCTGTTTTATGAAACAATCCATTGTTTATGTATTTCACATCTAGAACAATAGCACCCCATTGAGCTGAATTTTCATGAGGTGGTAGTACAAAGATGGTAGTACTATAAATGCATAATTATCCAAATCTACTCATGAGCAATACTTTAGCTTCTAACTGTTCTTTAGATCCTCATTGTTCTAGAGTCACATCAGCCAAGGCCTTTCTTATAGTCTCTTCACCAGGTTTAATAGTGAAATCTGTGAAAGTGTCACTATATTCTTTTTTGAAGTTTTCTGTTATTAACCAGATTAATTACTAATTAATTAATAATTATTGCAGTCAATTGACTTACTGTATTTACGATGTTCATGCAAATAGGACAATTCCTTGTTTTTTTCTCACCAGTACAGTTTCTTCAGCAACTTTTTTATAGAACCAAAGCATAATCTTTCTAATCTTTGTTATGACATTTTTAGCGTATTGTATTTTCAGTAATGATTAACTTTTATAAATTAATAGGTAGAGCGAGAGATACCAATAGGTTCCTTAGTTAGTCATCTTCAATCTACTCCAGTTGTTCAACAAAATGCTGTGGCTTTAATCAATGCTCTACTGTCTAGAGCTGATATTGTCAAAAGAAGAACCTTGGTAGCTACTCTTACATCAAAGCAAGTTAGGACTGTTATTCAAAACAGTATTCTTCAAACTGGAGCAGCTAAAGGAAACGAAATGGCACATCAGTTGTATGTGTTACAGACACTTATGTTAGGACTTCTTGAGCAGAGAAAAATGACGAAAATGGATCCACAGGTATAAGTTTTAGATATGTAGTTCTTATTATAGTACTAATTAAATTCTTTTATTGTTAAATTTTTATAGAATCTATAGAATTTTTCTTTCAGTTTTATTGGGATCTTTCTGTCACACAACACACTACTTGCTTCCTTCTATTTTATCCATTCCACCCTAATTTTACTGCATCCATTTTCATCTATTTCTCCATGACCCTGTAATACCGATCCTATGTACTTAAAACTACGACTTTTCACAATCATTTCACTATCAAAAGTTGTTGATTTATTTGTATCAACTCCCATCTTTAAATGGATATTCCAAATACTTTGTTTTTTTTCTACTACCTTTCTTCTCAAGAGCTTGTCTCAATTGTTCCAGTTTTCATTATAAATCTCAATTAGTATTTCCTATTAACACTACATCATCAGCACACATTAAGCACCAGGGATTGTTACCTTTTAGTTTCCCTCTTATCTGAACCAACACTAATGAGAATAAATAAGGACTAAGTGAATAAGAAAGGGAACTAATTTTAATAATACAATACAAATTAAAATGCAATATTAATATACTTAAGTATTTAAAAATGACAATATACAAAACTTACTTACGCATATATTTAATTTACCACGATAATAATATTAATAAAAAAATAATAATATTAATAAATATTAAATATATTACAAAAGGAACATTTTTATTCTCGAGAGAGAAAGAGAGAGAAAATATATCTTCTGTCTCTCTCTTACCTGTATCTTACATATGTAATTATTTTGCTGCTCACTCAATATAATATGTTCAAGATCGGATAGCTTTCTTGTTAGTAGTATTATACCCACACAAACCGCATAACAATATAATTAACTGTCCCATTGCCATACTTACATCTCATTGATCCAGTGCTTTTTTTCAGAATTTGTTTGTTGTTATAATTGGTTGTACTTCAGCCAATTGGCTTATTGTACCTCTTTTGTTCATGTACATCCTGGCAAGGGTTGTTAGTGTTAATAAATACTTCCATACTAACAACCAGGGGTTTAGTTAAAAATCTCTGGTGGCATTTACATGTTAATTAGTAATTGGGAAAACAGGGTTGTTTTGTTTTAAATATATTTTTTTAATTAACTGTTTTAACCTTTTAAATGCTGCTACTAGATAGGATTAAAATTTTGACTTGCAATTGAGGTAGGGTATCATTGGAGGTCTATGTATTATATAAAAAAATGACTGTCATATAAATTAAAATGAATTAAGCTAAACTATTATCATGTGAATGCGTGTATATAGTAGTGCATTTGTTTATTTCAGTAAATTCTCGAAATATGAAATAAAGATGGCACTAACTACTAAAGAGTTAATACCTTTGTTAGAAGAACACTCAGATTGTGAAAATGCTGACTCACTTAAAGTGTTTTATTTGCCACCGAGATTAGATTAGAAAGTTTCTTATGTAAAAGACATTGATGATATTATTTGTGAAGAATCAATAAAATCGGATATTGCAGGTACATATGAAATACAAGTGATTGGGAATTCTGACGATTCTGATTATGATATTCCTCTGAACCACAGATAAAACGTCCAAAGAAAAAACCAGTCAAAAACAAATCCAAATTTGTCTTAAGTTGTAACAACAGATACTTCTTCGTGCTGCTTTGTGCTCAGTAGTAATTCAACATCAGTCTGATTAATATTTAGAAAATATAAAAGCCAACCATGGAGGCAAGTCATATATTGAAGTTTTTTCACTCTTTTTTGATAAAAACGTAATTGAGAGCATTCTATATTTTACAAATATTCATGCATCGCAGAATAACCGTCAGAATTTTGAAATGAATAACATAGATTTGTATATTATCTGGTTCACACTCTGCTTCAAGTTGATATACATTGGTCAAAGGGTGAGGATAAAGAACTGCCATTATAAGAGAAAGCATGAGCCGACATAGATTTATATTTATAATTTATAATAGTGAAGAATCTCTACATCAGTGTCAAGCTTAGTAAATGTACGTCAATCTAAATTTGCTTTACCAGATGAAACCAGATTCGACAATACTGGCCACATTACAAAAAGGACAATACTGCAAGAATGTAGGATGTGCAAAAGTACTACTATTTATTTATGTAAAAGGTGTAAATTTACATTTAAGATGCAATATGTTCCTTATTAAAATTTTACTGTTTTCCTTGAAAATAAGAAAAAAAATCTTTTTGGTTGTAAATTATTCTTAATTTATGTATTTTTAATCCAATCTAATAAATTAATTGTCAAATTTCTCTTTGTATACTAACCGGCCGTTAACGAGTTAATACTATATAAAGAATAAACTTTCCGCAAATTTGCTTTACTTACCTCAAAACTATTTTAAAGTTAATAATAAAGTCGCTTTAATAAATATATTCCAAGAAATAAAACACACTACGCCTATGCACATAAGAATTTGGAACGAATAAACATAAATAAAATATCATATTTTACTCATTATCCATTCTTTCTAAGAACATAAAATATATATATATATATATATATACTATAGATCATATATATATATATAGATATATATATAATATATAGACCAGCAAATATTGATAAGTTTGCGGATGTTTTAAACTATTCAATAAACTTGTCTCACTACACACTCGTGAATCGCACCAATTTATATTGTTACGGGGAAAATGTTATGAGGACTATATTACTTTTTCGCTTATTTACATTGGCGAAGTATACACAATAAAAATGACCCCTGTAAGAATTTACTACTGACATTTTACACGGTTGCCGCTACCGTTTAGTTCAATTTGTAGATTAGTCACCTTTAATTGGAAACTGTCCGACAGAGGTAGATGATTTTGGGGTTACCACATGGTCAATGGTGCTATCAGTATCATCAAAGATTGTTGATGCTGACATTTCCCACACTAAAGTAGGCTCTGAAGATTTATTCAGTAATTCTAATTTTTTTTAATCGAATCTTAATTAAATCATGCTTCAGGTTTAGTCAATAAATATAGAGGATGTGAATTTAAAAACTTTTAGTTCGACTTTCTGAAACTAAAGAAGAATACCGAAAAAATAATTGTCGACGTCATTGTCTTTGCTAAGAGACGCTAATTGTATCCGAACGTCTGCGGTCCCTCCGGTGAGTACCGATCGTACAAGGATAGAAATTATTTCTATTTATTAATTCTTAATAAACGAAAATTTCCACCCAGCTGAGATTCGAACTCACGACCTTTAGGTTCAAAGGTAGGCGCTCTTACCACTGAGCCACAGAGGGGGTTAAATAAAAATCTAAAATTCAAAGTTACCTGTATTATTTAGGTAAGCATCCCTTGAATGTTTTTGTGTTTTGGTATCTTATTTAGCGTTAAATCCTCATCTGACTCGGAATCATAGATAGTTGACATTGATAGCTGAGAATTTTTGAGATGGAACACATTTTTGAATATGTTTCTTCATACGCAGCTCTAGTCCAGCCATAATAACTTTACATTTTTTACATTTATCAGTCACTGATTTTATTTCGCTTAGTAATTTAGTAGAGTCGCTTAGAAGATATTCTATACCGACCACGTTACTAACCAGGACGTTTTATTAAGAATGCAAAAATCAAAAGGGTTGTTAACCACAATAAAAACAGCCAAAATTGAATAGCTCGGTCACATCATGAGGAACAATGAAAGATATGGGTTGCTGCAATTAATTTTTCAAATTAAAAGTAGAAGGAAAACTAGGACCAGGAAGGCGAATAATTTCCTGGCTGAAAAATCTACGTACATGGTTCAACACAACAACCACAAATCTTTTCAGAGCCGCAGTTTGCAAAATATAGATTGCCATGATGTTCGCCAACATCCGAAATAGATAGACAATACAAGAAGAAGAGTCGCTTAGTAAAACCATCAGTATATAGCTTAGTATACCATTTAGCCATACCATTTCAACGTTTTACATTCTATAGTTTCCAGGATGTCGATGTCTATGCCCATACACTCTGTGATTCCAGTATTTGTTGCTCTGTCTTTTCTAGTGAACAGACGTAATAAACTGCAGAAGTTATAGAGGCGCATACGTAGACTCAGATCATTGTCTAGTGATCTCAACATTGAGAACTAGAATTTCAAACACCAGTAACGATAATAAAATGAATAGAAAAAAAAAAATGGAATGTACAAAAGCTGAGAGATGCGACAATTGCAGAACGGTACTCGGAAAACATCACTAACAGGCTAAGGAACCAGAATGTGAATGAACAAGGCCAGGCAGATAGAGACTCTGGACCAGAATAAAGGAAGGCATTGAAGCAGCAGTCAAAGATGAAATAGGAACAGAAAATTGTGCCCGTAAAAATCATTGGTTTGCCAATGAATGCAAGAATCTAACAAAAGAAAAAAAATGAAGACTACAGATGATACAGTCTGGAAGCTGCTTCCAGACAAAAAGAAGAGAAGAAAAGAGGATACACAAAAGAAAAAAACGAAACTACTTAAATAACTTAAATATATAGAAAACCTCAACACCGGAAAATAATTCAGAGCATTCTATAAAAAAGTTAACATCAACAGAAAAGAATTCAAAGTAACCACAAGTCAATGCAGAAAATGGCGACCTATTAACAACAAGGAAAGATGTATTGAATAGATGGGTGGAATACTTTAACGTTAACCAGGCACTTAATATAGAAGAGGAAGAAGAAAACCTGGAAGACGAAAGAGATGAGGTAAGGGGAACAGACGAGAGGTAAGAGGAACCACCAACGATTCTTGAAGTTAAAAATGTAGTTAAAAAACTAGCCAAAAACAAATCACCGGAATAGATAATCTCCAATCTGAACTATATAAAGAAGGTGGCCACGATACCATAATTGCATTACAGCAGCTCTTAAAAGAAATATGGATACATAAATATCTTCCCAATGATTGGAATCTTGGAATACTTTGCACCATACACAAAAAAGGAGATATTTTTGAATGCTCTAACCACAGTGGAATTACGCGTTTAAATGCACCATATACAATATTTTCCACACTACTATGTCACCGTATGGCACCATATGCAGAACGGATACTAGGAAAATACCAGTCTGGTTTCAAAGGTGGCAAATCGACAATTTATTGAGATTGCAACCCTGTGACAAGTTTTAGAAAAAACACTGGAATATGGCATACACTCGTCACATATTTATAGACTAGAAAACAGCCTACAACTCTGTGATTAGAAGGGAAATGTTAAATGGGAATAAAAGGGAAAAGCAATGAAAGAGCTAGGAATACCAAATCAGTTTGTAAATTTATTAAAACTAACTCTTGAAAAAGTTGAATGTAGAGTATAAATTCAGGGGAACTGTCTGAACCTTGTAACAAATAATGGGCTGCTCCAGGGGAACCCTCTCTCCTGTATATTGTTTAGTCTGGCTATGAAAAAAGTAATACGTATGTCACAAATCATAACCACTGGTTCAATATAAAATAAATCAGTGCAAATCCTTGCCTATGCTGATGATATCAGTATTGCTGGGAGAACGGAAAACGCTGTACGAGAGGCGTATGTAGCATTAAAAGAATCAGCTACAAGAATGGGTTTAATAATAAACACCAACAAAACGAAGTATATGAAAATAAGCACGCAACCACAAATCCTACGACCACTTGTTATAGAAAACGACGCCATCGAAGCAGTGAACAAATTTGCATACCTGGGAGCGCTCCTTAACACTGAAAATTATACTACCGCAGAATTTTCACGACCCACAGATGCTATGTTGATTTCAATCTCCTCCTTAAATCCACAATTATACCGAGAAATACAAAAATAAAGCTATACAAAACAATAATACGCTCAGTCCTAACATGTGGTTCAGAGACGTGGACTTTAAACAATAAGTAATGAAAACATGTAAGGACGTTTCGAAAGAAAAGTATTAAGGCGAATCTATGGAGCAGTGAATTACAATGGAGTGTGGAGAAAACGATACAACTTCGAATTTTATAGAATATACCAGGAACCAGATATCCTAAAACATATTAAGATAGGATGTCTCAAGTGGATAGGGCATGTAACGTTGATGGAACAAAACGACTCAGCTAGAAAAACACTCCTTGGTAGACCCATTGGTCAGAAAAGAAGAGGAAGACCTAGAACAAGGTTCCCTGATAACATCGATGAAGACATGAGAAATGTGGACATACGTGCTTGGCGGAGGAAGGCGAGGGATAGGGACGAGTGGATAGAAATTATTGAGGAGGCTAGGACCCACGCAAGGTTGTAAAGCAAGAATGATGATGAATCATTGATTTTTTCTTATTATCTTTAACAACATCAGAATATGACCAAATGGGATTTTTCTTTCTTCCCGTAGACAACACTTTTCAAAAAAGCACCAAACACCACACAAAATACTACAAAATAACTTATAGTAGACGTTATTGCAATAGCCAACTTGCAATGCGAATTTATAAATACTAAATAGTCTGGTCTGTGGTTCCCTCAGACCAATGGCTCTTCATTGCAATTGGTTTTCTTATTTCCGGGATTCATTTAGTACAGAGACGGACTTTAAATACGAAGTCTACTTATTATGTAAAATGATGGATCACAACATTTTCAATTTTACATCGATCAAAAAGATACAGCCTAAATTTTACATCACAACGTCACAATACCAAGGTATATAAGTATTATGTTAGAATATCTACCTTACTAAAAGTTTTAAGAGAAGGAGACAGCCAAAAACAAATAAGTTTATCTGACATGGTAAGATGTCTTGGCCTTGTATAAGACTTATTTATTAACAACTGTTTTTGTCGCTTCAGGATGTATTGAGACATGAGTTATTATTAACAATTGGAGTAATATTTTTAGTAAAAACTACTTATAATATAAACGGAACGAAACGTTGAATAGTCCTTTCTAATGATATAATCCAAATCAGAAGATAGTATATATTGTATCTGATTCTTGTCATTGCAACCTACTAACTTTTGTTTTTCTATAAAATGTTTTATTCAGGATCAAGATGGGCATGACAAAATCAAAGAACTGCGTCGAATAGCTTTTGAAACCGAAGGAGCAACAAGTCTAAGAGGTCCAAGTGGTTTCACACGTGACTACAAAAAATTAGGTTTCAAAAACGATATCAATCCTGCCTTGGATTTCACTGAAACACCTCCAGGTCTTCTAGCTCTCGACTGTATGATCTATTTTGCTAGGACTCATCCAGAAAATTACACAAAATTGGTGTTAGAAAATAGTTGCAGGGCCGACGAACACGAATGTCCTTTTGGAAGAGCTAGTGTGGAATTAGTCAGGATTTTATGCGAGATTTTAAAAATAGGTAAGAATATTTTTTTATTTTATTCATTTATTTTAATAAACTTATGTAAATGTACTACAATTTTGAAAATATTAAAATACGATCAACAATTTATATTATTCACAAAGAAAAGCTACTCCACTTTCACTATATAACAAGCCTCTAGTTCGATCAAATAATGTAAAATTTTTAGGAATGACATCTAAATTGGAAAGAACATATTAAAAAATTGGCAATCAAATGCCAAGCAAGACTTAATATCCTTAAATCACTATCTAAAAAAGACTGGGGAGCAGATAGACAAACTATGCTCTCTCTCTACAGAACTCTAATCAGATCTAAATTAGACTATGGCGCGATAGCATATTCATCGGCTACTGAGTCTTCCCTTAAAATTTTAGATTCAATACACAATACTGCACTCCGCATTGTCTTGGGAGCTTACAGAACCACACCAATAGAAAGCCTGTATTGTGAAGCAGCTGAACCATCACTATATCACAGAAGAATGTACTTAAAGTTAACCTATGCAATTAAATTAAATGCAAATCCTAACAACCACACCTTCAAATATGATCACCTTAACCGATTATCAACATTTTTCTCCAATAAACCACGTCTACATAAACCTTTCCACCACCGAATCAAAATGGATCTGTCATCTCTGAACATCACCTTACCTCCTTGCTTTCCCGTTAGTTTTGAACCTGCTGCACCATGGACTTTGGGAGTACCTAAAATAATAACTACTCTAACATCATTGGACAAGCACACTACTAACCATAGTATAATACATCAAAATCTGCAAAACTTAACTCCTAACATCATTGGACAAGCACACTACTAACCATAGTATAATACATCAAAATCTGCAAAACTTATTACCAAAATATACAAATTTCTCTCAAATTTATACAGATGCTTCAAAATCAACAGATGGCGTGGGAGCAGCAGTTATATCCTCTAATATGTGTCAAAAATATAAGTTGCCAATACACTACAGTACTTTTAATGCAGAATTATGCCATATACGAGGCACTCACATATATTGTATCCTAACCAAATCAGAAATATATAATTTTGACTGATTCACTAAACTCACTACAATCTACAGGAAGAATATACCCAGAGAATCATATTCTTGAAAAAGTAAAACAAAATCTGATAGAGATAGAAAATTGTAATAAGGAGGTAATCTTTATTTGGATCCCATCACATATTGGTATTAGAGGCAATGAAGAAGCAGATAAGTGTACGCGTGAAGCCGTCAACTCAGCTGACTCTATTATTTTGAAATATGTGATAGCTAGTGATGTTTCAAGTGTTATCAAATCGCGGATCCTAAGTGAGTGGCAAAACCGGTGGGAATTTTCAGTGTCCAATCTTCGGAATATTAAACCGTACATTAAACCATGGAGATATTTCCCCACTGAAAAGAAGGGATCAAGTGACAATAACTCGTCTTAGATTAGGTCATACCAGTGCCACGCACAAGTTCTTAATTACTAAAGAATCCGAACCAAAATGTGAGCAGTGTAACGTTAAACTCTCGGTGAAACATGTTGTTTTAGACTGTCCAGTTTTCTCCACAGCAAGAATTATTTATGGTATCTCAATAAACTTAGAGAAAGCACTTGGTGCAAATTGTTCATTCACAAATATGTTAAACTACTTAAAAGCTATTAATTTTGTTAATATATAATATATTTAATATTGTAAATCTGATTCTCGCTAATAACCTTCGGGTTGATGCGAATTTGTAAATAATAAAAAAAATTTCTTTTAAAAATTATTAAACATACTAGTATTCAGTGTTCAGTGTGTGTTCGGAAAGATTTCCGCGATTAGTACAATGAAACCTAGAGCTAAGATTAATATTATTACAAAAATTAATATCAAACTCACCAGTCTTCCGGGTTCAACCGCGTCGATATCCATTTTGCCAAGCTTTCGGCCTTCTCTCTGATGCCTTCATCAGGGCTTCCGAGGTCTCAGTCTCCCGAGCCCCCAGACACTACTACACTGTTCACTGATCACTGCACTACTACATTACACTACACTTTTGAGAGACATTGTTTCACAAAATCTCTAAGACGCACTCCGTTGTCATTGGTTATTTGTTCCCCATATCTTCCTACGACTCTGATATTTTCTTCTCTCCCTACTCTGCCGTTTAAATCTCCTAGTGTAAAGATTTCACAGTTTTCTTTAATTTCAGAGAGGATTTCATTCATCTTGTTGTAGAAATCGTCTTTACTTTCTGGATCTGCATCTTCATTTGGGGCATACACTCCGACAATTACGATGTTGTGCCCATTCTTTTTCATTTCCAGTATTAGCAGTTGTTCATTTACTTCAGTCCACGATTTAATATTGTTTTTAAGATTTTTTCGAATGGCAATAGATACTCCTCTCTTAGCTCTGTTATTTTTACTCACTCCACTGTAGATATGTATATATCTCTTCATTTCCTTTTCCTTTTTCTTGGTCTCGGTGAGAATACATATATCTATTTTTCTTTCCGCTAATTATTTGAATACTTCTGCTTGTTTGGATCTAAGTCCTTGTACATTCCATGTAGCCAATATCATTTTCCTTTTCCTTTGCGTTAGTCGTCTTTGTTTTGATCCATCCTTTGTATTCCGAGGCTTTTGGTCGAAATTTTTAGCATTTATTTGTTTTGACAAGGGATGAGTTGCTAGCCCTTCGCCTCAACCCTCCTCCTTTATCCGGGCTTGGGACCGGCACAGGCATTTACAGAGCTACTCAATCCACCCAACACTTACGGAAGGCGAAGTTTAAAATGTCTTGTTTATAAAAAAAGCCAAAATCTTATACCTGTATTAAATAAACCTTAATAAGGTATACCTTAGTTACCTTATTACCGAATTAATATTTTTACACATTACACAATAATTTCTATTCTAAATATTTGTTTAAACTATCTTCAGACTGGTGTCAATAATCATCTAATTCTTTTTTACACATTATCGTATGTAACAATGCATATGTAAACAATCTTCCTTTTTAAGGCGTGTTGTAGTGAAACCAGATTTTGTAGCGTATGTATTTATAATTCATGTTTGGCGACAGAACTAAGAATAAAAAAGTGAATATGTTTCATTGCTTTAATTTCTACCTGTTTTAGTATCGACTTATTTAGTTTATACACTAATGGGTGTTTTTAAATGTCGTGTGCCAAAGTTTAAATAAGAAAACATTAGTGTTTACAAATAAATTTAAGAAATTACTGCCAATTTTTAAGGTATAATTTGACTTTTTTATTTAGAAAAGGTTTGTTATTTGTATTCTATTAATGCATTTTTGTTATGTAGAAAATCTAAATTGAATTATAATATACAGGCTGTTAAAATTATTTGAAATTTGTTTACATTTCTAAAGAACTATCTAAAGAAATACACTGTATGATTTTTTTTTCGAAATATTTAAAACGAACAAAACAAGTCACTTTTTAAGTAACATTTAACCAACCTTCTTTTTCAAGTCAAAGTTAAGATTAACTACCTTCATTTTGTAGTTTGGTGTATTCTGGACCTTACAAACCACAATCTTGATTTTGTTAATTACCCTATAGAGACCTTCTTCTTATTCTGTAGTATCGGGATCTTCCTATATGTCTGTTAGGGTTGTATAACAAAGGTTTTTTCTCTTCCACAAAAGTAAGTTTGCTAGTTTTCAGATTCTATTGAGTCTTCTTAGATGGCTCTCGATCTGTAATTTGTTTCTAACTTTCGAATATTTCCTAATCTTTGTCCTTAGATTTTCAGAAACAGTCCTTCCGTATTTACTGCAATTATTTCGAATAAGCTTTGTTGTTGTATTGCTTCATGATTTCTTGTTCGAGGTCTCTTCCTTGTTTATAAAGCAGTCTACACATCTAATTCACTACTCTTTTATCTTTATTTAACCTCTCTTAAGATTTTCTTACACTAAAGATATCTTCTGAGGTCTACAGGAAAAGAAGTTGTTACAACACGAACTCACTAAACTTCACAAGCGAAGTAATTACTAACCCATTGGACAATTGAGGTAACATACTCAATATACCTGAATCTACTGTATCGACACAAACGCTTTATGACACGTTCTTCTACCATCAGTTTGATAGTTGATCAACTTTTCTTTAGAGACATCTATCTTTCCGCCCCTTAATATGCCCTTCGGCTGTTAACTTTGCTAAAATCCCCTATTAAGGATTTGGAATTTATTTTAGAGGCTAACTCTCTGCTATAACAATATAAACATTAGGATAAATGTCTTGCAATTCATTTTTAATAATGTATTGAATCAGATGGTAGCGATTGAATATATATGGTATATTATACACAAAAAGTTGTAGTCCCTCATTCATATAGCTCAAACAAGTCTGCATCTTTGCTTTCTCCATGTTGAAGTACTACATCTAGTCATTACAGTGCTATAAAAGTTATTTGTCAAAGATTTTCAATTATTTATTTTGTACAAGAACCTAAAATTGTTATGGCATTTAGTAAGTGTAGTAAATCTTGTGTTACTGGGTCTATTAAATAAAAAGAAGTATTTGCTTTTACTTCCTGGTATTGTAAGTATTTACAACAGTAATTGAATAAAAGAACAGTAACTACTTTATTTAAAAGAGTTTACTTGGAGCAAAAAGTAATCTCTGTTATTTTCAAATAGTTACTGAAGTAAGTTCTTATTTCTTTTTAATTGAATAAAAAGAAGACTATTCTACAATTAGTAAGTAATACCTTAATAT